AAAGCAAGCAATGTTTATATGTTTAATACCATAGCTTTCTACTTTTGTTAATGAAATGTAATGATCAACACTGTCAAAAGCCTTACCGAGATCAATAAATACACCTAATATATTTACTTTCATTAAATGGTTTAAAAATACCATGAACAAGATGACAAATAGCCTGATAAGTAGAGCTCCTCTTTTTAAACACAAATTGCTTACTACAGAGAATATTATTTACAATCTAAAAAGTAATAAAATATTTTATACATAAAATGTTCTAATATCTTTGTAAAGCATGATATTATGGTGATAGTATGTAATTAGAGACACTAGTCTCATCTCCTGAATTTAGTATAAGTATTACCCTTGCAAATTTAACTTTATCGGGAACGATTACTTGGTTTAAAGATAACGTAAATATATGCAAAAGCGGAATTTTTAATAAAGGAATTGATTTAATTACTACATTATTGCTTACATCAACTCCATTACCTTTATTCAGTTTAAGTAAGTACATGGCATCAAGCAATTCTGTTTCTGTAAGAAAATTATTATCCGTTGTATTATTATTAGACTTTGGGTATGATTTGAAGCAAGTTTTACTTTCTCATATTTTTGATGCTAAACTTGAAGCAAGTTTTACTTTCTTATACTTTTGATGCTAAACTTAGACCTGTGTTTACAATTGCATGGTTAAACGAACTAGCAAATAATGACCTGTGTTTACAATTGCATGGTTAAACAAGCAAATAATGCGTCGTTAATAATTTCATATTCAATCATAATTAGTTTTTGTTTGGATCAATAGTTACATCATTTGGAAAAACTTTTTCAAATGTTGCAACTATCGGTAAAATTCTCTCTTTTTCTCTTTCATCTTTATATTTGTTCTAGATAAGTTCGTATTGTGTATGTCGTAGTGTTTTTTTAAAACCTTTGTTAATAGATTGAATAGGGTAGCCTCGAATATCTAAAATTTGTGCTATTTGTTGTAGCCCTTTTATTAGGTTTTAATTGTTTGACATAATATTATTGTATCTTAACGCTTGGGTATATACTAAGTTGCTTTTTTGATGAGGGGGCTGGAGTGAGTTCTAATGTAATACTACTGTTATATCAGTTGCCTATTTGTATGTTGTTATTTCTAACTGTCCATCTAAAAAAGTTTACATACAACAACAAAAGGCTTCAGAATTGAAAAAAAAACACTAATGCTAATGTGTAAACATAATTTGTGTAGTGATAAAGTAACGCCTTATCCATACTGAAGTAAATAAGGACTCACTACAATTAGCCAAAACCCAACCGTACCCAAATTTGAAAAACACTAATATTTTTTTGATAATGTGATATAAAAAGTGTAGATCTACTGTACAATATAAGTAAAAATAACTAAATAAATCACTAACCATACCACCGGTAGAAAAAACTAAGCAAAGTAAATTAAAATTTTAATAAAAACACCAGAACAAAACTAAAGCAACTAAAGTATGCAAACAGAAATTACAAACAAATTATTGCTAAATCCATTTAAACCAAATAGGTATTTCCAGTATAAATAAACCAAAAACAATATAAAAATGGCAATATACTCTATAAAAAACTTTTTTTAAAGTAAAAACACAATAGAGTCTTCAAAAAACTCTAACACTGTCATAGATACTTCATTCGAATTTTGTTAACGAATCTAAAATGTAAGAAAATAAACATCCCGATCAACTGAAAATCATAGCTTAAAATCAAGTAATATATAATAGTAGAAAAAATTATTGCCTACAAAAATGTAAAGATTTAAAACATGTAGAAAAGGATATAAGAAACTTTCTGAATAATAATAAAAGACGAAAAACATGCATATTAAAATTAAAATAAACCTGAGCAAAGAATATAAGATAATAAAGCTAAAAAATTTCTTGTTAATAGTAGTAATATGCAAACCAGATAATAAATAATATGTTAAAAATACTAGATTAAGACAAAATAAATACTGTTATAAGACAAGATAAATTTTGGTCATATGGGTGGTTAATAATAAGGTTTTCGGGTAATATTACAATAATATAAGGCATGATATAAAAATGATTTAAAAAGCGGGTAAAATATAGTTTAGAAGTAAAGTTTTCTCAACGGTCCAAAACAGAATTATTGAGACCTTAACAAAATCTAACTTTCAAAAAGTGAGTTTTTTCTACGGTCCGAATTTAAACGTATTTTTTAGACCATATATATATATATATATATATATATATATATATATATATATATATATATATATATATATATTATATATATACTCGCCGGCGCGAGTAGGTGTCACGTGGGGGGGGGGGGGCATTACATTTTGCCGACTAAAAAAAAAAAAAGGTCCTCATTTTCCAAAATTTGCCGACTGCCATGACGACATTAGATTATCCTAGAGCGATAGGGTTAACCTAGAGCGATAGGGTTGACATTTGCCGACTAACTAGTCTAAAAGGGTCCAATTTGCCGACTAAAAGTCCAACTTGCCGACTGAAAATCATTGATGGGGGGTGTAACACATCCCCCTATCGCGCCGGCCTTGTATATATATATATATATATATATATATATATATATACTTTTTTTTGGTTAACGAATAGTATTTATATCTTTTTTTACCTATAACCTCTTTTATTATGTTTCAAGTTTTTTGTATATCACTTTTGGAGATTTAGTTTATTCAAAATGCGGAATAACTATGATATTATAGCTACGTTTACAACCCAAACACTTATAATTAACAAGATTCTACTTTCAATGATGTTTATCATCTGTGTTGCATAAATATTTGTGATAAAATTGGCACAAATGTCATAAAGTAGTTAGTGACAATAATGATTTAAACAACAAAAAATCTAAAACATAAATTGACAATAAAACATTGAAATATGCAAAAAAATATCAAATTTTGTTAAATATTACTTTAAGGTCCAAAGTTTTCTACTTACTTTAGACAATAGTAGGACATTTTGTTTAATATTTGTTCATTGATGTAATGATTTTTTTTGCATTTTGAATGATATATAATTATGAATGTTATTTGGTGTGTCTTATTATTCATTGGAAACAAACTAATCATTTGATATTTATTTGCTGCATAGTAGTTATCAATATTTATTCTTTTAATTTGTTGTGTTGATATTCAGTTAACACAAGTTATTACTTTTTATAATAATACTATAAAAAAGAGTTTAATATAATAAACTACTAATATTAAAACTACTAATATTAAACTAATATTAAACAAGTAACAGCAGTGCTTTTAATATTACTTGCAAAAATCTAATTGCTTGTTTCCCTTTAGGATTTTTATATATTTAACACCTTTCCTTATTTTTCCATAATGTCAAATACCACATAAATTAGATTTTTGTTAGTATTCTATCCAAAAAACGACGATTGAAAAATAAATCATTAATTTTATATCTATATACATAATTTTCAAAAACATCAATTAAAAGTGTGCCACTAAAATTTGTTGAATTACATTTTAGGCTTAAACCAAAGCCACCCCAAGTTGTGATCCAAGCCACAAAATTTTTACTTGAACTTTATATTTAATTTGTAAATCATAATATAATTGGCTATTACTTCTTACCCTCTTTCTTATATAAATTTACTATTATTTCTAACATCACAATCCACTCAAACTGCAACATTTGTGACCAAGAAATAGTTTTGCAGCTTGTAAATAAATATAAAAAATTTACACGTTTTTTATTTTTATAGCTATTAACAAATTAAAAAGTTACTTAAACTCAGGGATAGTTTTGAAACATTTAAACATACACAATATACTTGCAATGATTAATAGATAGTCTATCATTAGCTTTAAGTAATAAATGCTCTCATGGTTTTTGTGATTATTAATTTAAAAAAATGTCGAATGATAGGATCTTAAATTATTGGAATAAGTTTAAAAAGAATGAAAGTATTTTTATATTTATTTAAATAAGTAAGGACTTGTTTTATTCAACGACTTTTATTTTAAACCTGCAATTATATTTATGAAATTAATGCTAATTCTAATTCTGTTATTTAATTTTAAATAACTCCATGACGTCAATCTGTTGTATTAAATATGGCAATTTGTTTGAAATTTCGCATGTAATAATATTGTTTACAATTGTTATAAAATCATTTATTGTGTTTATTAAAAATAAATAAAAATAACACAAAGAAGTTTTAATATTTTGTCAGATTAGATTTTGTTAGATTGAAAGATTGATTATTTATTCTTATCTTTACAATCACAACCCACTCAAATATCAGAAGCCTTTGCAACCAAGAAATAGTTCTGCAGCTTGTAACAATATATATATAAAGTTTTACATTTTTATTTATTTTTATAGCCTTTATTAAATCAAAAATTATTTAAACTCAGAGAAAGCCTAAATAATTTTTAGAACTTTTGTTCATTTGCTTCACTTTATGGAGAGTCTCTCAGTCTAAGAGTCACATAGGTTAAAGTAATAATTGTTTTTAAGAGTTTTTTAAACCAATAATTAAAAGAACATCAAACAATTTATGGGTGACAATATTGGTGTCAAAGTAGAGGGGTTCTACCATCAGTTTCTAAAAAAAATCCTCTATATCTAGAAATTTTTGCTTATAAAAAAACGGTCCTTTAGAAAAAAAAGTAGAAATGGGTGAGGGGCCAGTACTGCCAGGGCCACCCGGTTAGTAATTGGATCCTTCTACGTATTTTTATATTTATTCAAATAAATGGTTTTTTTTGTTTTATGACTTTTTTTTTACACCTGCAATTATATTTAAGAAGTTAATGCTAATGCTAATTGTGTTACTAAATATTTTAAATTAGTGCGTGACGCTAATCCCTATAATTGATTTTGTTGATTTGTTTTAATTTCTTATTTAACAACATTATTTATAATTGTTATAAACCCGTTTTTCATGTTTATTAAAAGCAGTAACATTCAAAAAACTTCTACTAATTTTGTAATTAATAAGATTAAACATTTTGAACTTTTTAGGCGAAATACCAGCATCGTTCTATCTTCCTTTTGGACACGGTGTTTATAACTGCATTGGAAAGAATTTTGCTTTGCTTGAAATTAAAACATTTTTGGTCAAAGCGTTGTTGCAATTCGAATTTTCTGTCGATCCTAAGAATATAAATTATACAAAGGTTATTTGGTTAACTACGAGAACAGTTGAACCATTGCTTATAAGAGTAAAGCCTATTGTAGATTAAAATTCAACAGAAGAATAAACCTCAATAAAAACTTTACATCCCAACATGTATATTAATGATTGTTTGAGGTTTTCATTGGATACTTATCTAAAACAAAGTAATTCAAAAGATTCAATGATTGAGTTCTTTATAAAAAAATGATAATACATAGTACAAACCTTTTTTTAAACAGTTCTCATCGTTTGAACCTGTCTTTTTTTTTTTAATCAGTATTGAGGAATTCCATTCATTATATTTGTAAGGGATCGTCCACGAATTACGCAACGCAAAGCTTATTTTAAAAATATAAGTAGGAGAACATTTTGCTCTTTTGAGCGGCGGCTTTTGCTGGACTTGAAGGGTTATTTATACATGGATTAACTAAAGACTCTGCGAGGGAAAACTTTTAACACTTTTTCTTTTGTCTATTAGTTAAATTTCGCGTTACGTAATTTATGGTCGAATTTATCGACGTAATTTATGGACGATAATTTATGGACCTTTCTTTTTTTTACGCAGTCTGTATTTATGTAACTTAAATATATGCTTAACTAAATAATAATTGCTTCCTAAAAATTGTTAGTTGATAAAGTGAGAGAGAAAGTGTAGTTGTTCAATAACCACTCTATAAACACACGTAAGCAATTTATTCTTTTTATGTTTTTTTTATGGTATATGTGAGAAAATGTTTTTTGTAAAAAAGCTTTTATTAAGAATTTTATGAATTATTTAATGACTTATTTCTCTTATATTTAAAAACACTTGTTGCTTTACCTTTTACTTTTATAAACCTTCAAATAATATAAAAAAAAAAAAAAAAGAATAATTGGACAAAGAAAAATTTTAAAACGACTAAAGTTCAACATGGCCTAGTAGCAACCTTGATGTAATGCTTAACATTCTGGCTTTAAAGCTGTGGTTTTGTGGCTCGAAGCAAACTCTACCCATATATGCAACACTTATAAGAAGAACGAGTGAACTATCTAAATGCTATGCGCAGTGATATGCGCACATAAAACACATTTAGGACTTATTGAAGCACCTAAATAACTTAAAAAAAGTTTTAAAAAAAACAACAAAGTTTGAATGAAAAATGTTCAAACTTAGTTAATTAAATATTGGCAATTTGCACTCCCTGCGGAAAATTCAAAGTGGTTTAAAATCAAACTTGTTTTATGCATGCAAAAATTTTGTATTTTTACACAAAAATTTTTTTAAAATGAATAAAAATATATTTTCTGACATATTTGACCATAAAAGAATACTACCAATAATCTTTTCTCCTCTATTATTGTACATCAAAGTTGTTAGGAGAAGAATCTGCCAAGTTGAGATTCTTGTTTATTTTTAAATGCATTTCGTAAATAGCTTACACAAAAAATGACTGAATAGCCTTGCTTTACTGATAAAGCCTCGTTTTACCTTTAAAGAAAAAAGATTAATTAATAAAATGATGGAAATTATTATTAAATTTAACATACCTAATTTTTAAACTTAATTGTTGCATCAGCGCTGAAGTCCTTCTCATTATCACCCTTAAGAATTCCGTTATTCAAGTCCTCTACAGGCATATACAGCCCAGACTTCTACCTCACTTCTGCTTGGTCATCTGCTCATTTGTTTTCTAAAGTTAAAGTCTTTTTAACGAACGGTGGAAATTGCTACATAGACATAGAGTTTATTTTTTGTCCAACAAAGCGGAAACTTTTTTTCCAAATTGGGCATTAGAAAATCCAAGTTCGCAGAACCCTTTGAACACCTTACTTTATGGTAGCTCGTTAAGTTGAGAACATAGGTAACCATCAATATTAAAAAAATTGGACAGCATATAGTTTGTGGAGTCTAAATTCAGATTGTTGTCACAACACGCTGAGGTGATGACAACAATTTAAAAAAAAGAAGCAAAGTTAGTTGAAAATATTTTTATGTGAAAAGTTTTTTAACATTTTAGAACTAATTGTCAGTATTTGGAATTATCAGGAACAACAACTTTTAAAAACTTTTTTGAAAAAAAAAAAAATTTACTCAATATTATCTGTTTATGTAGGGATTTTTTCTCTTTGCTTGGAATTTGTTTATTTTCTAAAAATTAAGTGCTGGTTTGAAATGCAATTACAGCAGATTTCAACAGGTGCAACAATTTCAACAAGGTTTTAATAAGATTTCAACGACTTCTCTTGACAAGTTTAACAGAAAAAATATTGGCAAAATTAAGTTTAAAACTGTCAAACTTGGTTACAACCCGAGCTTACACGCTGGGCCCTTTTGAATTCCCTCTGTAACTTTTTGGATGGCTGCTAGTAAATTTCAAAGAATTCAGTAAATACAAACTTGGTTATAATAAATCCAATTTGTTTTCAACTCTGTACACAACAAAAAACATCATATCATATCATTTATTCAGTAGATGATGAGTAAAAACATCTATGAATACTATATAGCCTCATACATACAACCCAAAACTGTGTACTACTTTTTTATGGTCTTGCAAAACTACACAAATCTAATAATATTTGGTAGTGAAGATCTATTTGTTATGAGTTATCCTATTTCATCATCAAACTAACATAACACCGAACTTTTTAATTTTTGCTTGAGATCGGTCAAATTTATTAGTTATGACAAGCAAGGAATGTTATACCGAAAATTGTATAATTTATATAATAAATGTGTACTCCAAATTCAAAACTGAAAAAATTTGAAAAATTTAATTCAGTTACCAGTTTTATTATTTGAAATATCCTTCCATTAGTTATTTATCCTGACACTCTGTTGATCAATGGTACTTTGTTGTTCTAAAGCACAACTTTTTGAATGCATTAACAGCATTCTTTAGTATGGAGATGCCAAGAAACTCAATCACCACAAGAATAAGAAAGTGGTCTACACACCTTAGGTTCTTATGAATTCCCTGTGTCACTTTTAGATTGGCTACTTGCATATTTGCTGAATTTTTTTTTGTGCAAGTCTGGTTGATATTGGATGAAAGGCCTCCATCTCACTATAAGCCTTTCCAATCTCTTTTCAAGAAATTCAACAATGTTTTGAGGTATATACATTTTGTAATTAGATAAAGATTAGGATGTATGTCTTTTATAATTAAAGTGTTTTTTTTATTTAATTAAAAAACTTTGTTATTGGATTTATTTATAAATCCAATTCCAAATTTTATAAAATTCGAAACTCAAAATCAAATTTCAAATTTTGTCAAATTTATATCCAACTGACCTGAATTCAAAATTCGAATTCAAATATAGATGATTTTAACCTTGAGTTCTGAATTTAGTCAACTTTTTTAAATTTAATTCTAATTGAGTTGCTCACGCTTTAATAGGGTGTAACTGTGTTGAACTTTAGGTTACGCTTTAAGCTAAAATTATGTTTTAAATTATTTATATATAAACTGATTGTCAAATGTTTGAAACTCTAAAAATGAAACATCTTTATCAAATTGTTTTTGATAAAATCTTTAATTAAGTAATACTTAATAATTTTATTTGTTGCTTTATTTTAATTTTTTTTAATATATGTACTTTTTTTATATATAAGATATATAACTTGTCGCATTGGTTTGACAGGTTTCTAACTAATCTGTGAGTAGGTTTAATTAAACCGATGTCAAAAACTGTTATGTTCCTATCGTAAAAGTTTATTAGTGTAAATTGATAATATTTTTCCCCCATGATAACGTAAGCATTCGCCTTCAGTATCACTATTTGAAACTTAAAAATGTTTCACTCTTCATTAAAATCCCCAAAATGCAGTTAGAATAGTATCATTGGGAAACAGTCATATCTTTACTATGACAAGGTTCTATAACGATAGTTAGAAACATTAACTTTGAAATTTTGTGATTAAAGTAAAGTACTTTTTAATTTTGTAACTGAACCATTACCATAATAAACGGTAATTACCTATCTAACAAGATTCTACAGATTTTATTTTTAGTAACCATTATTTATAGCTTAAAAACTTAAAAGCTTTTCATGGCATCCTGTCATTTTTTAGGTGAAGAACTACTGGTTAGTAACCTCAGTCTTGGAGTGGCACAAAACAAATACCGCCATAATACAGCCAAAAAATAATAGTTCCTGAAGTCTTATGGATTTATTTTAATAACATATAAATAACAATATGGATTTTTTCCGTTAGCTTGTTTAATGATTTTTGTAAGCTTTTCGATTTCATAATGCGCATGATTTACTTTCTGGATACATGAATGTCAAGTAAGTAAGTATTTTGTAGTAATTTAATTAATGCAAGCAATGTCACTTTAAAAGTGTAGCACACTATTTCATATTATACTGTTTCTTTTTTGAGGAACGCAGTTTCCTCGCGGCTAAAATAAACTTTCCGGAGGAAAAATTTGTTTCGAAATAATATATAACCCGTCGTATAATTTTTTCCCCTATCCGTGAAATTAAACTTCCTCCGTGACATCTTTTCCTCCTAAATATATACTTTCATATCTACTATTTTTTATACATATTGAATATGGCACTAAAGTGTTATAAAATAGATCTAAAAGATCTAATTAATAGATCAATTAAATTATAAATCTGTATAAATATACAACCTGTTTAAATCCTAAATTAACTAAATTAACCTACACAAACAAACAAATTTTCAATTGAATCAAATTCATCAATCATCAAAAAAATAAGAGTCAGAAATGTTTTATCTCTTTTTTCTTAAACAAATTGATATTTATTTGCAAAAATTATTTGTTTAAATGTTAACACAATAATTTCGCGAAGCTTAGAACGTGTTTGATCGTTTAAATACTAAAGCTTGTTATTTTTCGAATTTTTTCTGGACTATTTATGAGATAGTTACTTAAATTCAGCGTGTGTACTTTGTTACCCTTAGTAAAATAACTTTATAAAATTGCGAATAACTTTTATGAAACAACGTATTTAAATTAAATGTTTTGTATTTACTATAGTTATTTACTTTTATCACACCTTTTCAAATATCTTCTCACATAAATAAGAACGGTAAAAGATGATGCAAATTATCAACAAGTTAATTAGAAGTCAATTTATATTTTTAACTGTATTTTTTGTTTTTATTATAGATAAAATTTTGAGGGTCATGTCAATTTTCTGTATCAAGATCCTCCATGTATATCAACGTTCTTTAATTAGAAATATTTTATCAAAAAACAAAAATTTTAATAAAACTTCTATTGGAGGAATATTTGTTTCGGGTGCGGTAAAAACAATGTATCTCCCCGGAATGTTAATTCTAGAATATACTTTCCAGGGGCAAATTTTGTCCCGGTACATAATTTCCAAAGGGACAAAAAAATGGTATGAACATTTGTCACGCAACACCCGTTTAGTCCGTCATTGAATAAGCCCGTATTGCGAAGTATTGTTATTCGGTTGTTGCATAATATGCTGTGAAGTTAATCACATTCAGCTCCCTCTCATAAAAAATAATTTTACTTTCAATATTAATAGCCCAGCAAAAAAATTTCAATAGAATTTTTTTAACGCTTTATGAAACAATAGCAAGTAAATTTACCTCATTTTACCAATGAATTTTTCCAAAATTTGGCCACGTATCCAAACCATAATATATATACGTTTCTTAAAAATGCATGTAAGTTTTTTTTCTATGAAAATCAATATTTTGACTTTTACTACAAATAATATTTATTTTATTTCATGTAACTATTTTTGTGTTATTATTTTTTAAAAGACTACGCAACATTTAGAGCAAT